GAAGATTATTTGCAGTCACGATCAAACAGAGCTCTGAAATTATGATTCTGATATTGATTCTGGATTACAGTTTAGTATTTGTGTGACACAGCAAATGAAAGAGCTTGCTCTCAAAATGACAAGTCAGTTTAAAAAGCTTATTTAACTCATTCACGGTACATGGTTGCCTTGACACCACAGTCAAGTTTTTCCGTATTAAAAGCAGTGGCGGCTCCAGAGATTTTCTGTTGCAGGTGCTATGGGGATGCTCTGCACTGTGCCTAAAATGCTCAGATCACAAAATCACACAGCCAGTTACCAACACTTGTCTAATGATGAATCAGCAGTGTTCCTATTGTTGGAGCATCATAGATGTAACTATGAAGAGCCAAGATTTGTGCTTCAACCACCAAATTAATTAAATGTGTAATAGCCAACAGATGGGAAAATCATGCACTTACCGTAGACCTTCACAGTCTTGTTTCTCTTCAGTTTGTGACTCAGAACGTGGACGTTTAGGGAGCAAAAAAACGATCCATTTGGGTGTATTTTACTCAGATAAACCTCCTAACCCACTATCAAAAACAAGCTACCATGCGTTAAGGTCAAAGGTTCGCTGTGCACTGCACCCATTGGCCAAAGAAGATCACCTGTTTTTTTCACCCTCATGTTTTTTTAGACTGAAATATATTTTTTAAATTATCATTTTAATTCACATTTTTTAACAACATGAAAAAGACTATTCAAACATGACATATAAACATATAAACATAAAAAACACAGGCATTTCTTGGGGTTGCTGGGCGGGTGCTATGGCTATTATAGGGGGAGCTACAGCACCACCTAGCTCCTCCCTGGTGCCGCCACTGACTAAAAGACCAGATAAAGACCAGATTAAATATGCTATTAGTGAATGTCAATAAAGGAATAGTTTGACATTTTAGGAAATTTGATTATTTATTATGCCGAGAGTTAGAAGAGAAGATTGAGCTTCTCATTAACTTCACTCAGGAAAAGCAAATTTCCCTAAATGTTGAAGAATTCCTTTATCACTATGTGTTGTGATGGAAAAGGCATAAACTAGTTAGTAGAGATCAGAGAAGTTGAAATATTTGGCTAAAAGTAATGGAAAAGTGATTGAAACATCCTTCTTCTGGTAACAGTAAACAAACAAACTTAAACCTACGGACAAAAAGAGGCAAGCTTAAAGGAACATTGTGTAGGATTTGATGGCAGGTAACGGTGTAGTTGATTATGATTCCCCCTTCTGAGCAAGAAGGAGAAACTACGGTGGCCGCAAAAAGCACGAAAAACGCAAAGGGCCCTATCTAAAGTCAGTGTTTGGGTTTTCCCTTCTGGGCTACTGTAGAAACCAGGAGCACCAACAAGTAAGAGCCAGTGGGGGCCATGACCCAATTACCCACCCACACTACCACTTATGCATAATATGCTTTTGAGTAATGATTACTGTATGCCTGTATGCTGCTATCTGATATTTTACATTAGGTACTATTTGTTTAGATCAATGTATTTTGATTTAAATGAATTCTTTGTATATCATATGAATGTACAGGTATATTGATGTTATTTTCTATTTGTATAAAAAAGCAAATTCTTCTTTTCAGATGAATATACACTAATGAAAACATCATATATTCCATTTCTGCCAATAAATCGTCCTAATGTTACACACTGGACCTTTAAAAAATGAGACAAATCCAGATCCTTTATGTCTAGCATGAAGAATATTTGTGGAAGAGATTAGATTAGAGAGCATAAATAATACGATTCTTCTGATGGAGAAAAGAGACACAACATCTATAAAATGGAGTAAACAAGACAAATGTAAATAAGAAATGCCTGCTGTATCATAGCAGTGGCCTTAGGAAAGGTACAGTCGGAAGAAGGTAGGTTGTACGAATGAACAACAATGATGAAGAGGACAAAATGATCATTCATAAATCAATTTGCTATAAAAAATATATTATATAATCATGTAACACTTTTTATTTCCCAATAAAAACAACAATATCCACTTTTACTTTATCTGATGTTTCTTTCTTTCAACTTGCTCCCCAAATGAGTCACCACAGTGTATCATCTGTAAATCTGATGATTCACATATTTGATTTAACTTTGGCTTTTTATACCAGATGCTCTATCTGACGCAAGCCTCCCCATTTATGCGGGCTTCGGACCAACAATTAGGAATGCATTGGTTTATGCATCCCCAGGTGACTGGGGAGCCAGGTGCTCAGTGTCTTACCCAAAGACAACATGTGGACAGGAGAAGGCCCCCGCAGTCACCCCCTTTTATATGTAACTTTTCTATATAATTAATCACGTTAAATGTAATTTTGTTTTATATCTACTCAAGGGGCTCATGGGCTGTGGGGGTATGTCAGACAAAAAAATGTTGGAAACCACCACTCTCATATCACAGTGTGTGCAACAAAAAATGACAATAAACAACAAATGTTTTCGCTTCAAATTTGTGATTCTATCCATTTTGACCATAACTCTCAGGGGCCATTTGTGCCGTTATGTCTTTGTCTCACTGCAGGTACCCACCACTTTTGTCATCTGAGGCCTATTTTCTTGCCGAAACCATATTGTTGTCAATAACATTTTATTTTGCCCAGAACAAATAGATCACAATTTTCTCTTTCAAACCCTGGGATACAGTAGGGTGTTGTGTGCGGATTCATGTTACTGTTGCACCTTTTGCCAGTGGCGGACTGCTGTTTGAGAGGCTGCGGTGAAACATATGAAAAGGGCACCAGCAGGCGGAAAGTTGTGTTGCATTTAAAACACATAGTCTGGGTTAAGCTTAGCACCCTAGAGGGCACTTTATTGTCTTTTCTCCAGGACATCCTACAGGAGGGATCTCTTATCCTAGCCCAGGGCAATTTCCAGCCCTCTGCCCCCTTCCTTCCAGCCTGCGACATGATGACAAGAATATAATATAATCCAGTCCGCGATTCGATTAAAATAAAAACATTTTTAATAATGACAAAGGTCAAAAGTGTCCACAGAATGCATGCCAAGGGTTGATAAGAAGAGGGCAGGTATCAAGGCTTCATTTGTTGTTTGACTGTGAACAACAAAGATGATATAAAATGATAGTTTGGAAATGGATACAAACTGCTGTTGCATTTTTTTGTCAAGAAACATGTTAGTAATGGAAATACTTTCATATTTCATTCTTGTAGCACTTAAAGAGTGGCCCTCCTATGAGATGACAATACCAGATGTGGCCCCAAGCCAATTTGCGTTTGAGACCCCGTCCTAGAGTGCACTTTATTTACCATAGGGGCAAATGAGAGGGCACTGTTTTTCAAACACCGCCCCCACCCACCCACCTGAGTGCACTGCAGAATTATTCCTCAGCTTGCGATATTGAACTCACCAACACACAGAGAAATGGGTAGAATTTCTGTATCCAAAGGTGCATTTCTCAGAAAAGTATCCTGTAAGATAAAAAACGGTCCTTAAGGTGATAACTGTGGACCTAAGATGGAAACTAGCTGGAAGTACAAAATTATGGCTGACAGAAAGGGGTACAGAATACAATATACTTAGGTATAAGATATAATAAGGTATAGGAAATAGAGAGTTGGGTTTGTTGAAATAAAATAGGCTACTAATAAAATTCCATTCAGTCTGGGTTTATGTGGGAATAATTTCATGAGCAAAGAAGTAGGACAGCACTTTAATTCAATTCAATTAAATTCAGTTTTATTTGTATAAAGTAGTTGGCGCTGCTGAAGCTTACAGAGTTTAAAACTTGATTTAGGCCGTTACAGCATTCACTTGTTGTAGACGAATCAGTTCTAGCTGAGCAATACAATGAAAAGGTACTAAAAAGTGTTAGAAATGGGCGCTCAAGATCGAAAGGTCATCCATTCAGTCCTCGGAACTGGCAGGATATATCTGGGTGGGGAATGTGAAGAAGAAAAACTTGGATGCCCTTGAGCAAGACCCTTAACCCCTGTCGCTGCTGTTGTACTGGTGGCAGCTTGCAGGTTTGAATGCGTGAATGTGATTAGGGTGTTCCTTCCTCTCAGTGGAAGGCTCCCTGAATTAATAAAGGTTAAACATTATTGCATTATTCCATTTTTGTCACTAGGGGTACAGAAATGTTCTTGTAGAGAAGGTAAAGAAGGTACAAAAATGTGCCATGTTCAAATGCACAGTGTTTCCACCCTGCTAGAGCGACAAAGCATTCATCCTGTACCTTGATTTCTTAGTGTTAAAGAACTGGGAATTATGACTCAAATTAATGACATTAAAACCAACCTGTAATGTATCTAAATTATTTAAGCTTTTATTTCCACCATAAATTGATATATTTTGAAAGAAAACCCTGTCAACATACGACGGTATGTCAAAATCCCAATATTTTGCTCACGTTATGAGGCAAATTAACCAATTTATTTTAATAAAGTGCACTGTTGTGTTAACAGCTCATCATTTGATCAGGGTAACTGTGTGTATGAAATGGTCTCAGGTTGTCCTTGGATTATTTATGCATCCATTCATTAGTGGCTCCTTATGGAGTTCTGCACTGAATTCAAAATAGATAAAGATGCTGCAGGTCGATATCCAATAGGGCCAACTCAATTCATTTACATTACCTTGGCAGAAGTAATTGCCCTAGGAGGTTGGAAATCTTAACAAAATTGAAGCATTAATGTAACAGCAACATTAAAGATCTTAGGAGAGAACATTTGCAATGATATTATGATAATGCACCATAAGTTCAGTATTATAAAGGGGTAGATTTGAATGTTAATATCAGACAAATATCAGCAGGCTGTTAAAAATGGACACACACAATAAGTACCAAGCTGGACCAGGAGTTTTTTTTACCCCCCTGTAACCCAACTGCTCCACTCAAGCTTTTCCAGCATCCCCATCATTTCCTTTCTCCCTTTTTTTTTTCTTTGAGGGAGTGGGTTGTTGAAGTAGCTCCTTGCTCGCTACAATCATCTGTGTTGTCGGTGCATGACCCTGCTGTGTTCGTGCATGGAGGCAGACAGAGGGAGAAATCAGCGTCACACTGACGAGGTCTGTGAAGCGGGTTATTATCGCACTACAGTGCCGCGTCCTTATTGGCAGTCTGCTCAACAACCTGCGGTCTCTGCAGACACACGGCAAACAGAGGGAATACAAGAGACACACAAACACCTCGGAGGATGTCTGGGATAACTGGGAATTTGGATTGCGAGGAGTGTTTGTCTTCTGCACATGTGGCCAACAGCACGGAGCTACATCTGCGCTCCGCTGTGGATGAAGACGACGAACTTCTGAGATACATCTGGAGAGAGTACTTGCACCCCAAGCAGTATGAATGGGTCCTGATCGTGGCTTACATTATTGTGTTCTTCGTTTCACTCATTGGAAACTCGCTGGGTAAGTTGCGTCTTTGATTGTTCATTCCCAATCGTGCGTAATTAGTCCATCATACAGCAGAAGTGCACTTTGAACAACTTTTTTGAGGGCAAGAATGAGCTTATTGCTACAAAGAACCAGAAAACCAAATGTCCCCGTGATGAAAAATGTAAAATAGTCCAGTTTTGTCTATCAATGTTCAGCGCAATCGCAGCGGTGCATCTGGATGAAGGAGGATAAGTCACAGTGCGCGTCTCTCCCACAGATGTGTTTGAAGATACAGATTGTACAAATGATACCACTTATTTCACACTGTGAGCGCAGCACAGGTGTACTGTTAAATACACAAATCACAATACTGTAAAAAAATAATAATTTTATCTGTACTCCTTAATTTTCCCTTTTTGGGATATTTCATTGTTTATAGTTTTCTGAATGTATTTGCAAAAATCACCACTGACTCATGCTCAGATTATGATCAGTAATTAATTAATAATTTAATTAAAGAGAGACGCAAAGTGACCATGCAGAGGATTCTCTTGGTTTTTATTGCCACTCCTTCAAATAGATATTTACTGGTATAGTAAGGTTGGAAATGGTGCTGCCCAGCAAAAGGTCTAATGTTACAGACATTACAACAACCTGCTCATTTTACCCAGGGTTTCTCCCCCTTTTATCATATGAGGCTATTTTTCTTCACTGGAACCATTTGAATCTCCAGTAACATAAAATTTTGGTCATAATTGCCCAGAAAACCAGATTTATCTCAGCAAGACCCTGGTATACATCTGTGCAGATTGTAGCCCACATCTTTTTATAATCTCTCATAGTTTGCAACTAGATGCACTGCAGCATTGTGCCTCAGCCTGTGAGACTGAGGAGATATAAAAAGATAATTAAACAATGTATATAATAAATACAGTAGTTTAATTCAGGTTTGTGTCTGTCAATATCACAATATCACCTTTTTGAAGATTCAAATGTAAGTTGTTTACGTAATTCAGTGTCATGATTCACAACATTGGATGAAACCTTGGAGCCCAAATAAAACAAAAGTAAAATATTTAAGGATTTTACAAATATAACTACCCTTTTTTCACTGTGAATAAATTAACTGCTATGAATAGGACTCAAACACGTAGATATAAGTTTGTGATATTTTATAAGAAACACTCATCAGGGCCATTTTCAGAAACATGTCGCAGACAAATCACAGCAATAAGCTGCCATACAGCTCAGCAGGTCCGTCGATGAGATGAACATGAGCATGGACAAGTTGTGATTGCAGTAATCAGACACTACTATTGATCAACGCAGTGTTTCATATCAACTCTGTAAAGTCAGCAGGTGACGTGTTCTGCATTTTGCCCTGAAAGCCTAAATTACACCAGTAATACTGCAGTTTTGTCGCTTATACTAAAATTAGAGTGTGTGAAAGCCACAAATAGGCACCAAACACACACGTTTGTATTCTCTCTTCCACAGAAAAAGACAACCAAAATATGACTCACCTACCGTGGAGGGGGGGTTAATGATAGATCAACTGCTGCTTCAGTTACTACTTCATGCAGAAGTTCTCCAGCAGACAACTATTATTTTCTGAAATTGTATTTGTTTGTCTATCAAATCCAGGGGATATTGGTGGAGTACCAGCATTAATTTCAGAGTCACAGCTGACAGGTAATCATTATAATTGTCTCCTTTTGATAAACATAGCGGAAACAATTACAAAAAGCAACACACAAGGTTTTTAAAATCATCTTAGCTTGTCTTTATTTGTGCTTCTGTACTCCAGACTTTATTTACTGTTGATGTTTACAGCACCTATACTGAAAGTAAATCACACCAGAACCAATTCAAAACTGAACACAGAGGTGCCACTATAGATTTTGAATAGGTGTGTGTGTGTTGAGTTCAGTTCAGTTCAATAATTTTTTTTAAAGTGCCAAATCATAACAGAAGTTATATAAACCGTACTCTTAAAAATATTGTTTACAGAGACCCAATGATTCCCACCATGGGCAAGCACTGTGGTAAGGAAATTGCCTTTCAACAGGCAGAAAGTTTGAGGAAAACTGGGCTCTGGCATCTGCCTTGAACAGGTGGGTTGAGAGAGAAAGAGATAGCGGGGGAGAGAAGGTGATAAAGACAGAGAACATACTATAGCACAATGCAAGTTTTAATTGGGCTTTTAATACTTGGCCACATGTTCTTCCTTCCTTAAAGCAGCTATAATTTATGTTTTTATATAAACAATGAAATAAAACACAGAGATTTAGCATCTTTCAGCTCATTGTTTTGGTTTTACAGACCACAACTTTATTGATTTGGTTCACTCTCTCTCTTTGCTTTCATCAGTGCTGTTTCCAGACACAGCTCTCATAAATCCACTGTACACTACACACCCAGTTGGGGACTGGCTGGTGAACATAGTGGAGAATTTAGCAGCAAAAGAGTCAGATTTTTCTCTCAGGAGTTGGTGGAGAACAAAACAGAGATAAAAGGAGGGAGATTATTGGACTTACATTCATCAAGAAACAATGTGTTCAGCAGAAACACAACTCTAAATGAATGTTGCCGTGTAGCTGTGTAAACAGGCAAACTGTGTGCTTACACCTTTACCATATCAAGTTAGCCAGTGTTGTGTTTACCGCTTGTTTCCTGCTGCACCCAAATGCAAGTCCAATAATGACAACCCAATTACCTATATGTTAAGATTCTGGTAGGGGGGCACCAGAGGTGGCCAATCAGATGCCAGTGGGGGCCTTTGTGTCTTGAGAGTCATTGGCAGGGTAACAAAAGCTTCTACTGGCATTTGATTGGCCACCTCTGGTGCTCCCCTACCACAAGCTTAGCATGAAACTGTAATTAATGGGTAATTTATTTATTTATTTATGATAAAGACATGACTTAAACAGTCTTTTGCTACAGGCCACTGACCGGTTGCATCACCTAGTTCAGCAAGCAGCACATATATCAGCAACACATGCATGCCTTTTTGTTTGCATCTGAGTTTAGCACTAAATTGTTTTCGTTTAATTATGACCACAATGGGATCAAAGAGGGGTTATGTCTTTGAAGTAGGTGTACATAAATGTTGCTGTGGTAGCCATTCACAGGCCACAGAACACACACAAGAGTCTTAAATTGATAAAATGCCAATTATTTCCTAGATTGTGATGAGACCTGTTTAGACCTAAGTTCATTATTTCTGTGTGTGCCAACATCTCAGAGCTGGCTTGCTGAGTGAAGATTTCATCTCGTGTTACAATCAAACAGCATTTATAAACAAAAAACTAACTCCCAATAGACCCCCCTGCACAACATGTTAATGTGTACTAGTAAACTTGACCGATGTATAATAATTCATATTCTTTATGAATAGTAATGGGGAAAGCAAATGTCTTTGATGTCAAATACATGTGTTGGGTAGGATGTTGTCAATTATCAATGCTTGGAGACACTTCAATTGAGAATTAAAATATCCACACTAAATATTAGGGGGGCTGATATTTTTGCTAGTTTAAATATTGAAGTTATTACAAGCTCATGTTTTGAGTTTATTGAAGCAAGTATAAAGTGCTGTTTAGGTGTTAAGCGAGTATAAAGTGCTGTTAAGGTGTTCAAATTCAAAGTACAAGCACTTTGAGCTTGTTCAAATTGCAGCATGTGAGGAAAAGCTGGCACGGTCTAAACCTTAAAGCTGTGCTGTTGACCACTTTAGGACAGAGAGACTCCTAATAAGACTCAATCAGAGAGGACTCTTAGTTATCTGGCTTCACTAAATCCAACACCTAATGACCAGTCTCACAAGGCAGATTATCATACGCAGCCAACCACATCCAACATGGAAATATTAAGACTAGAAGGTGGGTTTCCGTCAGCCATTTTTTGTACACACACTGAGTGAGTTGGCGGGAACGTTTAAAATTTGCAAAAAATATTGCAAAAAACTTTTTACATACAGCTGAGGTGGAAAAGTTGGTTTAATAGTTGGAGCTCTGTGCGGAGCAATAAAGCAATGCACTGTGTGTTCTGACACCTTTCTATCAGAACCAGCATTAACTTTTTCAGCAATAAGAGCTACAGTAGCTCCTCATGTGCATCAATGAGCCTAGGCAACCCATGACCCTGGCCGCTGGTTCACTGCTCTTCCTTCCTGCTCCAACTCACTATTTACTTATGAGGAAAATTATTATTATGAAAACTGTTAATATGATTAGTTGCTGTAAGCAATACTGTTCTGGTCTGACTGAAACTCTCCAGTAAAAACAAATTTTAAGGACCACAGCGTGATGTTTAGACTCTTTAAGTAAACAAATGTATGTGTGGAACTGAAAAAAGTACAAAAACAAATAGTAATTATAGCAAACATTTAACATGTACTGATATTTAACAGCAGTAATACTGTGTCTGTATAGTGGGAACACTGCCAGAATAGGACATACAACAAAATAAATGCATGAAGAAAATAATGTTTGATGAAGGTCTGCTGTATTTGACCAAAATGTTGGGTGAAAGCATTTTTTCGGAGACATTCTTATCGCGCAAATTCCTTTTGAATTAAAAGGCTGTGACATGTGAATACCTTTTATTTACATGATACTGTCATAATGTACTCTGTGTGAGCCCCTGTTCTCCAGACATGCAGTGATGAACACAAATGCAACAACCCAAACTGAATTAATCACTGTCCGAAATATCAGCAAAATTAAGCACATTTTACTAATTTCTGATACTGGCAGCTACCTGCTGTTTGTTAGAAGCCCTGTTTTATAGTTTGGATGGGATATTGATTATATTTCCAATATAATAAATGTCATGGCAAGCACTCTAAACCACTTACCACATACAGTTTTGCAGTATTTTTCTCCATTATGGGATGATATATAAGAGGTGCTCCCCTTTTCTCACATCTGACTGGTGGTTCCTTAATGTGGTTTCTTGCAGGGAACTTGCAGGATTGATCAGCAGCATTAGTTACGACGACAATGGAGATTGGTTTGAACTCGAGCGACCCT